TCCATGTAACCTGGGGACTGCCTGTATCAAAAAATTAAAGATATCCTAAAAGGGAGGTCTATATTTTTAAGCAGGTGAGCCAACTTTTATGAGAAAAATGGTTTTTGGGGCAGGGACTCTCAATATATATTTATATAGTGTCTAACACAACAGATCCTCAACATATATATTAAATGTTTAATATAAATAACCATCACAAGAACAAATTCTCCCTTGGGATGAATATATGTATGCTCCAGCCACCCACCAATTTTGCGTTTTCGAGCCCTCTGGTTCTGCTTTTATGACCTCATCCAATGCCCACTGCAATCAAAGGAAAAACTCATTGATTGTAGTGGGTTGTGGATCAGGTGGTTTACATTCATGCTGCTGCGGAATGTCACTTCTCAGGAAATAGAACCCTGCATGGGAGAGGAAATCAGAATTTAAGCAACTAAAGGATATGCTTTTTAAACAGCACATGTGCGATTAACAAAAATCTCTCCATCCTTCTTCATTCCTACTACTAAGAGTGCTGAAATTTGCATGGAACAATTTCCTCTCCCATTGAGAATTCTATTTCCTGACAAGTAACATTTCTCAGCATCATGAATGCAAACTGCCTGATCCACAACCTTCTGCAGTCAATGAGAGTTTTTCCTTTGATTGCAGTGGGCATTGGATGGAGTCATAGGAGCAGAACCAAAAGGCTCAAAAAGGCAAAATTGGTGGGTGGTCGGACTCCATCTTGGCTGCCTTTCTCCTTCCTTCCCTGAGGGCACTTTCACAATTTTTTGACCTTTTGGCTGAATCTAGATAGACACGTGATCTGGGTTCTACCCAGCATCAACAGGTAATTTAAGAGCTATCTCAACAGATTGTCTGCCCTTCTGAGTAGCAGAGTTTAGAGCTGCTTAGAGGCATGTGCCAGTACCATGTTTGTAGGTGTGTTTGCAGGAGGGTGAGCTTATCTGCACATAGGGGTGTGTACTAGCAGCTACCAGTCTTCCCTCTAACATTTTCTATCCTTGGATGTGTTGGATTTTTTTGGGGAGGGTTGAAAATGTTTTATGTGCAACACCAATATTGAAGTAGTGTGTGGATGTGCACTACCAATAAAAACAAAAAAAGATATTTCATATAAATATAAATAAAACAGCCCATACGTGTAGAAGTAAAATATTAAAATACAGGATAGTTAACAAGGAGCAATGCTTACAATATTTAATATGAAATCAAATAAAAAAGAAAATTAATGCTACCTTTGGAGTACATGTATATCATCATCCTTTCTAACAACTCAAGCTAGTAAACACACCAAAATGCATATTATCCACACATAGCTGAGCTTTAAGATGCTAAACAAATCTATGAGTCAACTAGAAATAGTATTTGCAAGGAAAGCATGACTAATACGATATTTACTGACACTAGAAAGGAGAGTAAAAGCCATTCACTAAGGCTTATTCAGTTTCTCTGGGGAATGTTTAGGAATTATGTTTTCCAAATGTGCATTACTTTGCACTTACCAACATTGCATTTCATCTGCCATTTTGTTGTCCTGTCATCCAGGTTTGCGAGATCCCTTTGTAACTCTTCACTGTCAGGTTTAGACATATACATTGGAGTTCTCAAACTATATCCAGTGGATCACTGTTAGTCTGTGAAGAGCTGGTACATCACTTGGAGCTAGATCCTCCTGCTGACTTCCAACATATGAAGTGGAAGAGGTAGAGAAGAAGAAGAGAAGGAGACTGGAGATGGAGGCGCAAAAAAACGTGTGCAGGGAAACAAGGGGCGAGAGAGAGGAGACGAACAGAAGAATCAGAACAGGTGAACAAGGGGCAAGAGAGAAGAGATGAACGGTTAGTAGCTTAACTGTTTTTCCAAACATTCAGGATATTCACTAAATTAAGGATAGTTCCAAACACAGAAACACTTTCTTTATATTACTTTTTCATGTAAGCAAGTGCTGCAATTGCCACAAAGGTGTTATGGGTAAAATCATCATTAAAATGGAAAGTAATCTAGCCGTTGAAGATAGAGAGCATCTCACAATTTTCCCTAACAAGATGGTCTGCCCCTTTAAGGGCCAGGACATACGAGAGGAGTTTGAGGTTTTCAAACATCAGACCCAGCTGGGAAGGGAATAAGTAGTTATAGAAGCTGGTGAGGCCTTTAAGAAACCTAAGAAAAGATATTTCAATTAGCCATTGCAGGTTGTTCTATTACAAAAGGTCTTTGCTATCTAAAATGACTGGCAATTTTGGATCCTCCCATTTCTGGGAATCCCCAAATAAAGTTAATGCTCAATAGAGCCAATTGCCCTATAACGCATCCTAAGTCAATGTGCATTCTAGAAAAACTGTGCCAATGTGCCTCCTAGCTGGGCACTCCAAAACTAAGGGAGACCTCTGACAGAAGTGTAATACATCAAAAGACATTGTGAAGATATTGTGCCACAAGCCAGAAAGAAGCAACACAAGAGGCTATTTGGGGACTCTGAATTTCCTGGTAGAATTTAGTTGTTCTGCTCTCAGGGCTCTGAGGAATAAAAAAATGTCAATATTTCCACATGGCTTTCCGTGGGTCAGAGCTACCCAGGACATTGTGCTTAGAGGATGTTTTAAACCATGCAGTAAGATTGCATCATCCAGATCAGGATGTGGGGGCAGCAAACCTCGGAGGGGGCTGAATTTAGCATCCCTGAAATAATCATTCTGTGTAGTTGTAAGCAAAGCAAACGTGTGATAAAGTATCAAATTCTGTTTGTGATGTGCCATCAGGCCTTGAGGGCTGGTGTTAGTCTCAGCTCTGAAACACAGATGTGGCTTATGGTGTTCTTACTGCTCTTCTGAACGTCAAAAAAACGTCAGAGCCATGCACGGCTCTGTTCCTGACGCACTCCCAAAGCCTAAAACTGACAACTCCAGCTACACGTAGGTTCTACTGCTACTGTATAGAACAATACAGTATGATTTGCAGAAGTGAACGCAGCCAAACATATTGAATTTTACTGAAGAAGAAGAAGAAGAAGAAAATAAAGCATCTTGGCAGTTTTATGATGACATGACCAGATCCCCACAAACTCCTGGCAACAGTGAAGAGTACACGATGTTCTGGAAAATCAATATATAGTTTGCATAGGGGATCCCGATGAGAACATTCCGTTATTTAGGTTGGAAATCACTTATTCCCAAAGTCATAAAACCCTTCCTTGCAGGGGCTGCACATATCCTTGACAAGGAAGAAACTGGCCATGACCTAGGCTCAGCTTCATGCCTCGAGAAATCTTTTTGTTTGTTTGTTTTTTCTCAAGCGAGCTTGCAGCCAGGGCAACTTGCGGAATATTATTATGAAATTGTCTGCACTTCTTCTGTTGGTGGGGAAATGCAGGGACATTACTTGAGCCAGGCTCCCTGTTCCAAGTGTAACCCATTAACCTCTACTCAGATTTTCCCTTCCTCTACTTCCAGTAACCCCCCTCTCTTCCAAACCCAAAATAACACCTCACTCAACGGTGGCATTTGGTTGAAGTTCACCTCATCACCTATTTTGAAAAGAAGACTTAAGCACCTCAGAGTCCTCCATAGGCTTAAATTATGATCCCATCTCTGAAGTGTTATTTGAGGAGAGGAAACAGTAACCCAGTCTAGAAGAAGAGTATCCATTCATGCTTGGAATTTCTAAGGCGCGTAAGGAAATTAGGGGTCTTGCTCCCATGGAAGTTCAATAGGAGTTGAGCACCTATCACTATGTCTACTTCCTTGATAATCCCAGCCTTAATTGCCATGTGGGTGGAAAATTGCTGAAACCTAATGGTTAAGTACTAGTGTGATCCTCGGGCACCATTCCCCTTCTAAATTTTGAATAATGCAGTGCAGTTAATCCTCTCTCCCATCTACCATTTCAGTGGTCAGTGCAGCCTACTAATCATTTTACACATTCAGAGCCATTAAAGAAAGAGACGTACTGTGCTGAATGAAGTTACCCTTTAGCTAGGTGTTTGCTCACATGCCTGGAAAAATTAGCAGTTCCCAGAAGCTGAGTTTAATTTCTTAAAAGGGAATATAGGTTCACTCATCATTAAAAAAAGCACATTCAGATGAGCACAGATGAGCACTTAAATGTGTGAGCCTTCCAAGCAGGGATCCATGAACAGATGAGTGTAATAACAGTTAATGTAGTGAAGAATCTTTAGTGAACACTTTGTTTAGAAGGGAGAGTCTGAGAAACCCTGGTTTAGAAAAAGGGCTGGGTGTTTGGTGATAATGGACATAAACTAAAACCCAGTACTGTCATTATCAATAATATTATCTTGAAGTGCCTTTTGGGAAACCAGCCTTCATTATCATAGGTTCTCCACCACAAACATGGCAAAGTACTTCTGCTAATAGCAATATCATAAGTGAGGAAAATAGAGTCTATGTAGAATCTGTGGAAATAAACAGACTGATTCAAAGTTCCAGATCAAATGGACATGTAGATTCCAGCACACACAGAAGTTCTATTACTCAAGCCAACATTCTGATACCCTTACTCCAACGCCTCATGTTTTCCTAAGGAAATCAATGCAAACGTGTGAAGAGTAAGGTACCATTCGACAACAGTAAAGGTATCAGAACCAGGGCCACATGCTGTTTTGAAAATATTAAATGCTGTGTGTTAAATATTATTAATATTCTTCCCAATAATTGTCAAATATTTTTTAGAAAGTCTGGTTCTTCAGAGCTGCTAGTTCGATGAGGTACAGATTTTAAGGTCATTTACATTGCTCTATCAGTGTTCTGCCAAGTATTTTTGGCACCAGCCAGCTAAGTTCTTTCGTAGCTGACTAAACCCAGTCAAAATTGGCTGGCAGAAGGCAGAACTTTTTAAAATTTATTGTGCTCCAATCAGAAAGCTGCTGAACACTGCGCTTCTCAGAAAAGTGCTGCCCTTGTTCTTTTTAATGAAAGCTAGTCATATTCATTAGGAATAGGGCTGAGCTATTTCAGACACGAAGACAGCAGACACAGATCAATAGAAAAAAATAACTTCTTTTTATTTACAAAAAAAATCCAAATATTGGATGCTGTAAACAAAATTCACAATCTGTTCCCTCTAGCACTGATGCAAACACTTCAGCTCTTAGAGTCTGTTTTCCATCAGCTCTTTTTCTGTCTGTGACAGAGCCTATAGTCAAAATGTTCCACAAGAGCAATCCAAGGAGCAATTTGCTGCAACGGGATGCCTCACAGAAGGCAACACTTGTATGGAATTCTGAGGGAGATCAAATGTGCACAGCCTCCTACAGACTGCAAGAGTTTGCAGTGCTTCAGCCAAGCTGAATTGAAATGTGCAGGCCTTTTTGATATTTACTTAGTTAGCAAGCCATTATTACAACAGCAAGATAGTACATGGATTTTCTTTCTTGCAGTGGAAATTGTCTGCTAAAAGAAAACCACACAAAAGAGTATATTCAAATAAATGCTGAATGTGTCATTATGTTTTCTTTCCTTTTCTTATAGCTGCAGTTTTACCCTCTACATTTCATTTTCTCAATGAAACAACAACAGCAACAAAAAGCTTCTTCTGAACTAGCATGAGCATCCAACATAATATGTTTCATATGCAGAGCATTTAACAAGATGTGCTTATAAGTGTGGCTTGAAGGTTTTTGTGTAACATAAGCAACAAATTGTTTTTAAGTACATAAAAGGGAGTATGGAAATATATTATATGATTTCATTAGTGTTTTTACTTCCCCTTCTATTTTTAAAATAAAGTTCTTGCATTTGGGGGATTTTCAACATATTAGAAAATAATCTGATTTAAAAACTCTCAGATGTTTCATTATATTTATATTAAAAAAAAGTTTAGCTCCCTGTTGATTACCAATAAATCCAACTGTCACACAACAATTTGACTGTAATGAGGTCAACCTTTTTAATCAGTTCAGCATTTTAAAGGGATACTTTTTCTTCAGCAAGTTCTGAGCTGAAATATTGATTGGATGAGAAAGTGAAGCCTACAGAATACCAAGCGTTTGTTTTTTCTTGTAAAAGTGCTAGTATACAGAAGTGAGAGAAAGAAAGAGAGAGAAAAAATAGACTTTATGAAATGAAAGGTGTGCAAATCACACAAGCAATCAGCTTTGAAAAGATGTTCTTATTTTACTCTTGACCTGAACTCATGGCTCATTCCCATCACTAACTCCAGACAACTTTTAAACTACCAGCCACAGTAAAAACAAAATCCTACCAGTTCTACCACTTGTTCATTTACATATGCAAAATAGGTCTATAATACTCATATAATATATTCAAAAACATATTATATATGTACTGAAAGATACAGTAGGCTGAGGCCTGTTGCATAACTACAAGATGAATAGCTACTGTCAATCATAAAAAGCAATAACATTTGAGCTGAAAGGGGAAACAAATCAAAAAACATTTAGCAGCAATGGAAAAAGGCTGCCCTCCAAAGGAAAAGTACATTGTCTCATGTATTATCAGCTTTTTGTGGTTGTGGCACAGCAATAGATCCCAAAACCCTTTTAAAATCATGGATGACTCATTTATTTGCAGCAAATAGTTGTGGTAAGCGAGGACATACCACATTACCAGCTGATCCTATTTCCCCAGCCCCCCTCTTAGCTTCCGTTAGAAAACCCTTCAAACAGCTACAGGCAGTACTCTGATTCTGACAACTACATCTCAGTCTTGATCTACAGCTTGAAGCAATAGGCCATGGGAAACAAACATTTCCTTTGCATAATTAATCAAGAAAGGCCTTCCTCTGACGAAGGAGAGGGGGAAAAAAAGCAGACTGCAGCCAATGTGGAATGGAGGGAAGGAAGGAAGGAAAGAGAAGGTAGGCACAAGGACTCCCAAGTAAACACGAGTGGCAATGAAATAGCTTTTACATATCCTGAAGAACTCACAGGAAAGGTGCTTCAGTAAGCAAACTATGTTCCTGTTAAACTTGCTTTCAAAGATAAAAGTGCAAAGGGTGGCAAAAATAAACTTGTCTTAGTAGCTCTGTAATGTCAAGGGGAGAAGACACTGCCAAGATACGTTTCTTTTCCAAATACATTTTTAAACATAAACATAATTTTCTTTTACCTGAAACTTAAACAATGCAGAAAATAATGCACTGGGATTTCAAAGTCAACAACTGTAAGAAGAAGAATTACTCATCCACCCACCCGGCTCTCCCCCAAGATGTGTCACTGAAGTGAAAAACTGCAAAATGGTTTATTTCTTCACTCTCCCCCCACATCCATCAGTCTCCCCTACTTGTCTCTTGGGTGAAGAAATGAAAGTGAATAGTTATAGTTCCAATGTAAAGTGATTCCATTTAAATAAAGTACAGTACTAAAATTGTAAATGCAGTGTGACAACCAGATCAAAGATGTTTAATATTTGCATAAAAATATAATATAATATATATATATAAAATATAATTTTAAGCAACCGTGCAACACTTTTAAAAAGGGTTCATTTCACATTTACTAAATTCTAGTGGTCCTGGAATGCATAATGCATTCTATTAAAATATTCCATTAAATATTAACAATTAGTGTTCAAATGACCAACTAATACAATATTCTTTAGCTGTCAGGGGTTTTAAATAGCCTATCTTTGATCCACGTTCCACTGAATTATACATCATGGAGGTATGCAGTCACAAAATTAGTGGGTTAAATGTCAAAATGGTATTACAGTACAAAATGTGTTAAAAGAATCAGCTAATCAAATGTTTATCCATTTGTGGAATTATTATGGCTCACAAGCAACTCACTGAATTACTGTAATCTTTGTTCTTGCAACCAAAGACATTATTTGAATCCCACCTTAATCCTGACTGGTTCATTTACTGCAAATTTTCAGGTGTGGGTTACAAATTCACTGCAAAGTGCCCACTGTCCTATGACATCCTGTTGCAAACTGGAAAACACACAGTACTTTATTTAAACATTCCTTAAGTGCTACATTTTCCTAGACCACATTTAATATATACATTGTATGTGTGTATATATATATATATATACATACACGTATACATATATATTTATGCACACAAACATATATATACACACATACACACACGTACCTAACATCACACTGACAATATTAATTTTATACAAGCATTTGCCAAGGAAAAATAGGGCATTTTCTCAACCACTGATTCACAAGCTTGGGATTTTCTTTTTGTTTTGTTTGTCTTCCTGTGTCCCTGATAAAAACAAAATGCATGGTAAAACCCACAAAACTATATTTTTCTCACTTCAAATTTTCTGAAGGCATCAGGCACTTTTGATTAACATTGGTGTATACAAATATAGTAACATCTTTTTATATTCTACCATATCTTCTTTGCTTTAATAACTTATTTGTGAAATCTTTGGTCCTTGAGCATGTTTTGTTTGCTGCAGCTGTTCTTCTTGCATTTCCACATTTTTTAAAATGTGAAGCACGCATGCAACTGGAAATTATGGACTTCATCATCATATGTTTTCTGGTTTTATGATAACTGCACCAATCTCCTACTGTTCATCTGGAGCAAGCTGTTTCTGTTAAAGCGTTCTATTCAAGCAAGCTATACATTCTATACAATCATTCCATAGACAGCACTTGTTGCAAGCCCCAAATGCAGTAATTCCAATATACATTTTATTTCAACTTATCTCTGCTCTATGCCTCTACTTTTAACTCCTGAATATACGCAAGCAAATTGCTTTGTTTTTGTTTGTTTGTTTTTCATATTCTCCCTTTTGCATATCCCATTCTAAGAAAGGCTTTCCAACCTTCTCTATGCCAAAGCTATGGGAAGCAGGTATTGCCAACCCATATTGTCATCAAGCATTCCTCCCTTGTTTATTTCAGGGGAAGCTATTTGCTTTTAATGACAGGCCTCTTGTGCTCTGGGGTAGAATCCAATTATTTCTGCTTCTTTTCTAGATCATACTCACATAATTTATAAGAAGAACCACAAGCTTTACCAAACTTGAAAGCTAGAGCAGATCATCATTGCACAAAGCACCCCATTTTAAGGAGCGTATCACTCCTTTCTGTTTGTTAGAAAAAGTTCTCCCCATCAGATGTCTTAAAATGGTCCTTAATTGCAGGGCAACCAAGTTGAGTATGTGTGCTGCTGGCAGGTAAATACCGGCTGAACCTGGGCAATGTAGTAATTGCTAAAGTTGGCATCAGCTACATATGGAGCTGGCTGGTAATAGCAGGTGACATTGGCCACATTGGGGATGATATTTTGCTCAGCAAGGACACGGATGGCCAGCATGGTGATAAGATTTAGAGTCTGTCTCCTCTCATGTCCCATCAAGCACACTGTGCTCTCATTCACCACACCATGAAGGGTCATGAGATAGTCATACTTGCGGTCTTCTAGTCCCACAAAGTGGTTCTGCAAGTAAGACTCCAATTTTCTTTGCTGTTCTCCAATATCTGAGAAGTCAATGAAAAACCTGGAACACATGTATCTCTGAAGGGACTTAATCTCAGATTCTGAGGCAGCCCTAAAGCCCCTTACCAAAAGGTTGCAGTACTTAAGAAGGCCACCTCCTCTGATTTCTTCTGGGTTTCTCGTGGCAATTATCTTGTTGCAGAGGTGATCAAAGGCTTCTTGGAAATCCCCATAGACACTTTCACCCATGATGGTAGGGTGAAAAGTTTCAGTCATGGGATTCTCTGAGCATTCATAAAAAAGCAGAAGGGAGTCTAATTTGATTTGAAAAGAGTCTACACTGAACTCAAATTGCCTCCTCAGGGAGTCCACAAACTTCAGCTCCACGTTTTTGCCACTGTTGTTGGACAAGGAGATGAGACTCCATCGGTCTGAATCATTGCATACTTTTACCATTTTCTGTACATAAGCCTCCTATAATTTAAAAGACAAAAATGAGCAGATGAAGAAACCAATACAAGCAATTGACTTTGTTTTTATTCTCTCCCACTCCATTCTGTGCCCATTTTCTGAACAGTATTTTAAGGAGTCTGAATAAAACTGGAGAAGACATATTTAACATAAGTGGTGGCAGCACTGTAGTTGCAAAGGATGATGGGAGAGAAACAGCTTTTGCAACAGTGTCTTTTTAAAGCATTTCTAAACATACACATGATATATAAATATATATCATGAGAGAAGGAAATAAAAGTGATGGTACACATCGCATATATGCACACACTCTTTATGACTAACACATACGATCATTTTCAGGGATTTGGAAGATCACTACCAAAATATAATGCAAAAACATTTCTAAAGGCTCCACAACATATATTTTCTACATTTGCAAATTAATCAAAGCTTGTTCCTTCAGCACAGTTCCCACACCCCAAAAAGAGCCCCAATTTTTAAAATGCCCCACAACTCACAAAACAGATGCATGCTATTTGGCATAAAACCAGAAGCGGGAATCCTCAGGCCCAGGGGGCCAACTGTGTTCCCCAGCTTACCTGGATCTGGCCCCTAAGGCTCGGGGCTCCCCCTGCCCCGGGATTGGTGAGCCCACAGTGGCACTCCAGCCCCCCACCTTGGAAGTAGAACACACAAAATCTACTAGCCTGGGAGTTTTTCTCCTTCTCTGTCTGGGCCACAGCCACATCACTGAGGGTTTGGAGGGTTTTTTGTTTTTGTTTTTTGTTTATGGGTTTTTTGCTTCTCACTTGTGTGGCCCCCAACTGATTTTTCTGTGGGTCAGTGGCCCCTGATGCAAAAAAGGTTCCCCACCCCTAAACTATAGTGAACTCAGAAAGTGAATCATGTTTAAGCCAAATTCTGTTTAAAGCAAGAAAATATACAGTTTCTCCGTGTGTCTGGGGAAAGTACTCACAGCCCTGCAGACACACATATATTTTCCATAAGGTTATGATCCCTTTAAGTTATGCTTTTATCGTTCTGCGCAACTCTTAAAAGGATAAATTCACTAATCCTGGCTCCTCCCCCTCATTAGCTCTGACGAACGGCGCTACTGCCAGTCAAAGTCTTTGGTACAATTGAGGTGTAAAACGAGAGACGAGTTCTTTCTAAAAACATGTGAGGTGTCAATTTCATGAACCCCTTTCTCCCTCCCCAACTCCAGGGCTATAAAGTGCTCCTTCCCTTGGCTGTGTGTCTGGACAAGAGCAGGTTTACCTTGAGGGTAAGCGGTGTGATCTTCTCCTTATTAACTCCGTCCGGTAAGAAATCCAAAAGGCAGTCCAAGACCACGTCTTTCACAGTCTGAAACTCGGCTTCCCCTTTGAGGTCTGCGCAGAAGATGAGGTCCAAGTCCTTGTAGCCCAGGCCACTGTCTTGGTGCAGGATGTGGCTGGGGGCCCAATGCACTTCTCCTCCAGGCGGCTCCGCACCACCTTCACGATCTGCCGGGGCTGCATCTCCAGCGTGGGGAAGTTGCCCCGGCCGTGGATGGGGATGGTCTCGCTGAGGATGCGATCCAAGCGCCGCACTTGCTCCCAGCTCAGCACGTTGCAATGAGGGTTCTCGCCGCAACTGCCCGGGCAAGTCCCACTGCCGCTGCAGCTGGGGGCGCTTTCATCGTCAGCCATGGTCCGGAGCCGTCTCCTCTCGGGAGCCTGAGCACTGGCTGCTCCGTCCCTCTGGCGAGATGTCCGGGTGCTTGACTCTTAACGGAACAGGAAAGCAAGCAATCAGCGCGGGGGCGGACGTGCCCAGGGCCCCTTCCTACCCGCTCCCACACAGCGTCCCAGCGGGGCTCTCAGCAGCTGGGGAGCCTCCCCCCCCACCCCCCCCTCGC